TAATTTTTTGTTGTTTTGATAACAACAGGATTTGGATTTTTAGGATCGTCTTTGTCCCACAGTTTCAAGTTTTTGATGAAATGACGCAGTTTCAAAGTGTATAGTCTTGCTCTGATCTTTTACTTGTTTCAAATTAATGTGACTGATATTGCACAGGTTAGCTAATGGAGGTTAGTTTGTGGAATGATTTTTGTATTTAGATGTTTGATTGGTTCTAAGCTCTCTAAGCTGCTTAGTTATTGCTAGTAACAATTTTACTCAACAACCCTGGTTCTGAAAATTCATGTACCATGCACTAGTGATTATGCACATTAGGGATGCCTATTTCAACTTTTTGCATTCTACTTACTAAGCTTAGTTGGTAACGTGTGAAAGCTTCAATTAACAGTAACTGAAGACTTAGATTAGCAACTACGGCAGAGTCCGGTTGCGAAGACATGTATGTCAACCCACCTTTATTTGTCCTTTACTGATGATTTGATGACACTCTTTTGGTCAATAATTAAATTTTTTTATTTTATGGTAACAACTAAAGCAAGTATATTCTTCTGAATGAAAACTGTCTTGTAAAGAATTTGTAAGCAATATAGTTTATACATAAAATACTGAATGCATTTAAAACCATACAGTTGGCTTATGCCACGTTGTAGGTCCTTAAAAGATTATCTTATTGCACATTGTATTCAAATCTTTGGCATTCCTAGATTTATTTTCCTGCAACTGGATTATCTAGATATTTGACCTCTCGATGTAACTTGTGTGTGGCTGTATTATGTATTATCCAATAATGGGTCAAATGTTCAAAGCTATTACTGTTTCATATCTTTTTTTGTTTGACTTAGGTAGAATAAGTCAAAGTAACTTTCACAAAATTATTCTAACATATTGGAACCAAAAGAAAGCATGACTGCCTGAGTTAGTTAAGATTAAGATTGTGGTGGGGGAGGAACTTTAGACAACTTCATGGTGACTCTTATAATGCACAATCACAAGCATGGACAACATTTTTATTTATGTTATCAACTATTTTACCCTAGAAGTAAACAAAATAGCTCTATAATACGATAAAAGGACAGTGGATAAGGAATGATAGGCTCCTTTAGAGGAGGTAGTCAGGAATTGTCAGAAGGGATGGGAAGATTTTGAGATGGTGACACCAAATGCAATCTTATAGGCTCTTTCTTTGAAAGTGGTTTCATGAGGGGACAAGCAAGAGTCTTATATGACAGTTACATAAATCATTAGTAGGTCAAAAAAGAAGCCTGACAGTCACTAGTAAGAAGCAGATATACAATAAAACTGATAAGAACTGCACTTGAACATGCCAAGTAGGAGATATTTTTTCCCAGTGATGTGTGGCACCGGAGGCAGAGCTAGCTGGATTAAAGTTAATGGTTTGGTGTAATCCACCAAATTTTGTTTGTTTATGAATGAGAGCATGATTAATACCGACTTAAAAATGAATGAGACCACTAAACTTTTGTGCCTGGCTGTACATAAAGAGCTGAGATTCGATGTAATCCACAAAGATCTATCTATAACTTGTTAAATAGTTTAAACCTTTTTCCTTTATAGATAGAATTGACTGTGCTTTAAAGCAACGTTTAGTATAATAAAAAGGAATTTTGAGTTATCAATGTGGGATTGTGACATAATCATTGAATGTTTGCTTACCATCAGTAAGTGTCTTTATGCTAAAATTTGGATTAATCATCAAGCAAGAACATTTCAACATTTAATGAATCTAACATTGACTCACTACAAGATGGATTGAGTCAAAATTCTCACTAGTTGAATTTTATACCTTTTTAACATACCCTCTATGTAACTAATTAACTCAGATAGGCTGATAATTAAACAAGTCCTCTTAAGAGTACCGTCTTCTGTCCTCTTGTTCAGACTGAAATGTTTTGACCATGTTTTTATTATCTTTCCTTCTTCTTTTTGGTGAGAATGTTCTTATATTTTGTCTTTGACAACATAGTTTAAACTGTTGGAGCTGATTAGCTGAATGGTGGATGTTATGGAGGATCTTTATTGGAATCATTAGAGAAATTAGGTAGCAAAACATAGGCTAACAAATTCCTGTACACATTTATTGATTATCTTGCAGTCACTTTGGACTTACAGTTAACTTATATCCTGTAGGTATTTACATATTGAGGGTTGTGCTAAATCTTAGATAATTTCATAGTCATGAAGTTGATGCAACACCCTTGCGTTGACCTTTTACCCATCACCTTACGAATATGGCTTAGAGAAGAAACAAAAATTTGCCATAATTTGCAATAATTAAAATATTATTTGTGGATCATTTCATGATGGATAAATGGAGAGCTTGCTAAGACTGCGTAATCATTCTATCCTTCTTGAAACCTTGTGTATCTACGATGTCATCTTGCCAGCAAATTTGTACCTGTAAAGCACATTACCGAAACTGCTGTTTTCATTCCATTATTTTTGGAGTTAGTAATGGGGCCATATTTACTCTCTTTGTTTCTTTCTTTCTTTAAGTTGACTTTTGCTATATACATGTTACCGAGGAAATCTGCTCAAAATTTTAAAAAAGTTAGTATGTGCTGTTTGTTAATTGTTATGCTGATTAAGTTCACTCAAGTGACATTTTTGTCTCTCTTTGTTTATTTTTTGCTTATTTTTCTGCCATAGGATAAACTGATTCTGGTTTGAGCCTTGATTCATGTGAAATTCAGATTCAGATCGGGTTGCGATCAGATTTCACGAGCTAAAATAGTTTCCATACTCATGCAGGTTTCATCTGAACTGGTCTTCTTTCTCAGCTCGGCAGATATTTTCTGGATTCTCCCCCTTTTAACTCGTACGCATTCTTGGACTGAACTTTACTCTTTCAAATTGTGTTAAAGTTGGATACCTTTTGAATTTTCATCACCACTAATCTGAGCAATAATTAGGGTTCAATCCCATTGCATAGTTGAATCCAAAGCTAGTTTAAATAATCTTGAATTTCTCTTCATCATTCCACCTGCGGTTAGTACCTCACTTTTTCTGGTGCCGTTTTTATGCTTATTGCTTTATCATGTCTCACACAAGGCAGGCAATCTCTGTGGCACATCATAATGTCACCTAGTTATTATTGGATTAAATCTATTTTAAGATTTCCTCATTATAATATTCCCAGAATGCACAGGCATACACATGGTTCAATGATTTTTTGGTGAGAATTAGGATTTGCATCTTTCTTTTGATTATCCGAAGGTCAGGTAGAAAAGAAAACCTTTTAAGTGATAAAGTGGGTTTTCATTAACAATCTGCATCAAATCAATTTCACCATTAAAAGTAGATATTTCATTGATGATTAACTTGAAATTATTACTCTGATTAGGATAAACTTGGTTGGCCGTTTTTCCCCGCTGGAAATTTGTGTAATGGGGATTAGGGAGTGACATTGAGGCAGTAAATGAGAAAAGAGTGTGATGAAACACAAAAGTTTCCTTTCGATTTAATTAGTGGAAGCTTTGTTGTGAAGAATGACAGGATTAGGATTTTTTTAATAAATATATTTGGCATTAGAGAAAAAATGGGGAGCCTTTGGCAGAAAATGTGGAACCTAACTGTCCGTCCATACGTCATAAAGGTGGGAAAATTCCAAAACCTCTTCTCCTAACAAATACAAAACAAAACCAAAGATATAGAAGTGCCAAAGAAACAACCCACATTGCACATGCATTTTCCCTTTGGGACTGGATCATCACCTCCAATAATCATTGCACGAATGAAAACAAAACTTTTTTTTTTTTTATGGAACTGGGTCTCCCAGTCAATTAGTGGAAGCCAGCACCACCAATCTATCCAATCACACCTTGACACGTCACCAGCCTCCTTTTTTTCTTTTTCTTTTAATATTTTAGCATCACGGGGCACTGAAAGTGCGTCGAATTGCTTCGCTTTGAGGTAAATTTGGAAAAAGGTCAGGTTTTTAAGTTCTCTTTTTTGGCCCAAGATGAGTTTATTTGAAACCCAAAAAGAAAAAACTTTTTCCTAACTGTATTGCTCTTGTTTCGTTTGTATTTTAGAGAAATGAATTGGTAAAAGTACTTTGGAATTTGTTAGTTGTTTGATTGTCGAAAGTTTGGCTTGAGGAAAATTCATGCATGTATAATACGCAAGCGGCTGTTTATGGCAGTTATAGTTGATGGCTTTTATAGAATTACATTATTTTTATCAAATCTCAAGTAACTTTCATGCAACACTGGCTCAATTTACCATTTAAGTTTACATATATGCAAATTTGTAAGCAAATTATCGTATAGAGAGATAGTAGTTTGTACTTTTACACTCTGTCAGTTCTTTAAATATTTAAATTAAAATTTTAAATTTTTTTGTTGAATAATTTTTTAATTGAATTGATGTCATATGAAATATTGAATTGAGAAATACTATTAATAGTATAAATAAAGTGCCATTGAGGTTTTGTTTTAATGACATCAATTCAATTTTATTTTAGGTCTTGGATTTAAATTTTATCAAGCATGGATTTTGTTTAATTATACATTTACTTATTTATAATTTTTTAATATATGATAAAAATTAATTAATTATGATTGTAATTTTATAAAAAAAAAATTGTATATAAAAGTTGTACATGCCTGCACAGGTATGTCAAGCCTCATTTAGTTTAGTACTATAATTTTATTGCAGTCCTCTACTTTAATTAAAGAGGTTACAAGAATAAAAAAGCATTAGATAATAGTACAATGCAATTTGAGAAAATGGATGCTACCATGGAGGGTGATTTCATCATACAAAATGGGTCGAACAAAACCTCGAGTCAATCGGACCGAGTCGTCATCATTTCCTCTTTCCCTTTATTTACGAAAGAGCCGTCACCATTTCACCACACCAAAGATCGCACCCACCTCTACAATATCAAAGTCCAACACCCAAAAGTAATAAATAAGAGCCTCAAGCAAATTGACGCGTGCTCTCTTTTCATTCCATTCCTTTATAGCCCCCCCCCCCCCCTCCCCTGTTTCTCTCTCTGTCTCTGTGAAACAACGAATAATCGACGTCTCACCAATTCCGTTCTGTTCAGCCCCTGTCACCGTTCTTCTTTCCTCTTATTCTTTCGATCTTTCCATTCAATTCTTCTGCGAGTTCATTAAATCGGTAATAAATTCTTTTCTTTTCGCGGAATTTTGTTTTGAGTCCTTTTCTTTTATCTAAAGTTCTGAATCTAACAGTTTTCTGTTATAATTCACCGAATCATACGGTGAAAAGGTAGAGAGAATATTAACGGATTTGATCCGGTGAGATGGCATCCGTGATAACGAATCCAGTGACGAACACGAATTTGGATCGTAGCAAAAGGAGAAAGAAGAAGAAATCAATGATCAAAGAGAATCGACAGAGCCAAAACCAGAACCACGCGAGATGGAAAACAGAGGCGCAGCAGCAAATTTATTCCTCAAAGCTTCTTCAAGCTTTGAACCAGGTCAGTCTCAACAGTCCTTCTCCTTCGGCTCCACGTGGTGGCCGAGCTGTCCGTGAAGCAGCTGATAGAGCCTTGGCCGTTGCCGCTAAAGGGAGAACCAGGTGGAGCCGGGCCATTTTGACGAGCCGGCTTAAGCTGAAATTTAGAAAGCAGAAGAGACAGAGAGGATCCGCCGCTGCCGTGGCTGCCATCACCGGGACTAGCCGGTCGAAGAAACCGAGAGTTAGCGTTTTGAAATTGAAAGCAAAAGGTATACCGACCGTTCAAAGAAAAGTTAAGGTTCTTGGCAGATTGGTTCCCGGGTGCCGAAAGCAACCGTTACCGATTATTCTTGAAGAAGCAACTGATTACATAGCGGCGCTTGAGATGCAGGTTCGAGCCATGAGCGCTCTCGCAGAGCTGCTATCTGGTTCCGGAGCCGCCAGCACTAGCTCAGCTCCTCCACCTCAGTCCCCGCCGCCGCCGCCGCCGACTATCCAGTGACACTTTCTAATTTGCTTGATTGCCAAGTGTCATCCTCTCCTATTTTTTCCTTTTCGTTTATTTTTAATTCTTATTATCTCTTTTGCCTTTTTCTCTCCTCTCTAAGTAATCTTCATCTCTCCTGTTAAATACATGTCTTCTTCCTTTTTCTTCTCAAGTAAATTTTTATCTCACATTTTCATTTCATTCCATAGCTTTTGAATCAGAAAAACAAGAAAAAAAAGTGGGTATTTTCCCTTATTATGTACACAACTATTCCTCTGGAAATATATTGCAATAAAAAAATTGTAAATGCTTGATTTTGAATTTCAGACTTAAAAATTAAAATCAAGAAATGCAAGGTTCATTTTGTTTATTTTATTTTGGAGGGTTTGATTTTGATAAGGCGGAGAAGATGGGTCCAAAGTAGGGCAGGTGACAAATGCACTTGATGCCAGACGGGGCTAAAGCTATTCGCTAATACCTGCCTTTCCGCTAGGGGTTCAGCCGAGTCGATGCACTGACAAATTCCAGCTTCACTTGAAATTTATTGTTAGAAACTCAGTTCGACCTCGGGTTTAAATTTTAAAATTAAAAGATTTAAGATAAAAATTAAATTATTTAAATTTATTTAACAAAAAATAAATTTAAATTTTATGTTTGATTTTAAGTTAATTATATATGTAAACTTAAGTTCAAATTTAAATTGATATATAAATATAAAATAATAAATTTTTAATTAAAATAAAAAGTATATTAAATTTAAAATTTTAATTAAATTCATGAATTATTTAAATAAAATATTCAAATGTTCAAATTTAATTTATTTTATAAATTAAACTATTAATGTTTGATTTGATAATAATTAAAGTGAATTTAAATTTTATCTTAATCAGTTTCAAAAAATTTATAAATATTAACATATCGGTCACACTTTATCTTTCACCGCTGAATCTCGGGATGACATTGAGGTTTGGTATTTTTCACGTCAATTTTTAATGTTTATATATGACACGGACCTGTTTGTTGATGGATTTCGGTGAACTTCAAAAAGAAAAATAAAAAAAATTCAACACCCTTTTTTCTTCTACACAATTATGTAAAAGAAGTGTCTCTTTATACATGTGCCTGCCACCACGTTTACAGAGGTGAATTCAACCTTCACCTGTAACTGTAAGGGAGGCGTCTGGTGTGACCAGTATTTTGACCAACTGCCCTTCAGTTGAATTCAATGGGAATGCCCAGATACAAAGGTCCGGTCCCTGAGCCTGCCGGGTTAGGGCGGGTCACTCTCACAGTAACACTCATGGGCTGCCACCTGTTCCCGGAATCAATCCCAGAAGCACACGGGTGCATTGGGTTTCATCACTATCAATAGAATAGCGATGGGGTTTTGGGAGATTTATAAAGATGACTGAGAGTAGGGACACTTTGATGATTCAAACCCAATGAATTCCAATAGGACCACTCTTTTTTAATTTACATTTCTTTCCGTCTTGTAAATTTTGGTGATTATAGTTTAAAATTTGGTCATTATAGTTTGTGTTTAAAGTGGTAAAAGGAAATTTAATTGATTAACTCTAATTAAATTTATAAATATATAAATATATTATTCAATTTTCGCAAGACATTCGTTTATTTGATTTCTCTATTAAAATATAAAATACGAATGTCATTTTCTTAACTAAAAAAAGTTAATTTTAACATCAAATTCAATTTTAAAATTAATAAATTATTTAATCATTTCATAATCCTTAACTTTCAATATGTTTAAATTCCTCATTTTTCAAATAAAAATGTGAGAGAATGAGAGAAAAAGTTTATTTTTATGATTATTCGATACATAGATAACAAAATATTTTAATTTTATAAATGAGATTAAAATAGTGATATATATTTTATTTTTTAAATACATACTAAATATATTATTATTTTAATTTTATTTAGGAAATTAAAAAATTTTTATTATTAATATATTTGATTTTTTTTTGAGAAATTAATAAATTAAAAAAAATACTTTTCAGCTGTCGAAATCTTCCACTAGTGATGCTAATTTTGGATGTCAAAATAGAAGTTTTTACATGGGATTTCTGGACTCTAAAGCTTTTTTTTGGGAAACTCGTGTCACCGTATTCTCACACACATGTTTCAATCATCCCATATATAAATAAAAATTCTTCCCGATAAATGAAGCAAAAAGGAATTTTGCACAGGTGAAATATAATTTTGTCTTTCACTGTATGCATGACAGCAACTTTATTTTGGAATCTGTAACCAATTGGAGGTGGCCTCCATTCCTAACAATGACAGCGAAAAAGATTTTTTAATTTTTTTAATATATATATATTTATTTATTTAGGGTCGTAAGAATCTTGACTCGTTAAAGCATAATTCATTCAAAATATTCTAATATTTTTTATTTAATAATTAATTATAATTCTATTTAAAAATATAATTTAAATTTAGTATTAAGTTTGAATTGTAATATTATAATGCTTTAAAAAAGAAAAAAAAAAGTTGATTGATGGGTTTTGCAAAACTGAATTATTGAGCATGCTGACAATTATGTGAAGTTTAATCGTTATCATAATTCCTATGGAAAATCATAACCATAGGACTCTGCCAAAAAAATTTTAGTGCTTTTTGAAACAATCAGGTGCCAAATTTTATGTTTGTACAAATTAAATCATTTACCAAATAATTAAGGTTCTAATTAAAGTTTAAATCTCTAGGAAATATTAATATGGTTTCTATATTCATAATATAAGTATTTTGCTTGGTTTTTCTTTTCTTAAAAAAAAAAATCTTGGGTGCCTTTCAAATTGTACGATAAATAATAAAAATATATGATATGACTCGGATTTGATAGATACCCAAAGCACACCCACTTAACAAGTGGTTTAGAGCTAAGTGTGAAAGTTAATCAAATTCCAATAATTTTCTTCATCAATCTTCCTTGATTGAAAAGATAGAAAGCTACCATCATCCACCAGACCACACCACTCATTTTCAATCCATTTCATTAAATTATACATGATATTAATTTTTTTTTAAATCACCACTAATTGATCTAATCAATCTAGTACTCTAAAGATAAAACATAATAAGGATTAAGAACATGGCTCCCTTGACTAATCACCAATTAAGTAAAGAATTAACATAATACTATGACGGGTTTTTGATAAAGTTTTCATTAATCACTAGTTGGCTCAAATTTTATGAAATCATGAAATTAATGGTTGAAAATTGAAAAAGGATTGTATGAAGCGATTTCTATATGTCAATATATATGTCTCTTTCATTCAAATTATATCATTTAATTGCTTTTATAAAAAAAATAATTATTTATTACATATTACATGTGTAATGAAATAATGAATAGAATTATTTATTTATTTCAACACATTCATTAATGATTTTAATAATAAATAATTAATTTTTTCATAAATATAATTATATGATTTGAATTAAATAAAATAGGTATATGCTAACGTGAATTAATTGTTTCACATAATTTTTTCTTTTGAAAACGCGAAGATGTCAGCTTCATATGATATGATTGAAACATTAGTGCTAAGCATGTGGCAAGCAAAGGTGGTTAGTTTCATAACGGTTGCTGCCACTTAACATCAGTAAACCCGCATGTAGTGTTTTTGCTTTATTATCGCATTTCTTTTAATATAAGAGAATAAAAATGAAGACAACTTTAAGAACAATGTTTAAGAGCAGCTGTTGTTCTGTTAGCTATCAACAACATCATTAATCAAAGTGGGATTTTGCCTTTTCTTTAACATGAAGAGATAGGGTTGGGATAGACAATGTAACGAGGTGGGAGATATCTTTGTCTCTTCAAATTTAAACAAATTGGGTTCTTACCACTTAATCAACACAAACCCTAGACCTAACTAAACCATCTAGATCTTTTTGAATTAACTTCAAATACTTCAAAGTTGACAGACAAGTGCCCATTGTTTCTTTTCGTATTCTTTATTAATTAGTTTCGATTTTGTATAATGATTTTTTTTTAATTTTTATTAATCCAACGGTTAAAATTTAAGATTTTATCTTGAAAATTTGAGTTCGAATTTTGAAATAAATGCGATAAAATTTATAAAATGAGAATAAATTACCTCTTACTATGTAGTTTAGGATTGCACATAAAATAATTACCTGAAAGAATCCGAGCTCAAGCATTCACCATCAAGCTTGACAAGTTTTGTGCAAAAATAGAGAGAAAGCATGCATGTGGTTACAGTGTTAAAAGCTATATAAACGAAAACATACATTTGATTTTTCTTAGCGGTTCTATAATTATATATTACCTCTCAATATAATTTAATTACAAACATTATTGAATCGATAAACATTAAAAAGAAAATTAAATTACTACTAAATAACAAAAACATCAAATTGATATTATTAATAAAGCCCATAAGTTGAAAAGGGATATTTCAATGAAGCAAACTCATCATGAGAGCAGGGAGATCTAAAATGTCAAATGAATGAGGCAAGACTTAAAAAGAGTTTGGTATACATATTTATATACAAGCTTTTATAGTTTGGTATACATAGCTAGCTAGGATTCTTTGTTTGTTTGTTTGTTTCCTCTCTAATTACTCTATTTTCTGTTCACTTCAATGTGAAAAAAGATTGTTCAACTGTGGAAAAGAAATATAAAGATTCTAAGAAACATGAGAAAAAAATCACTAGTTACATGTGACATGTCTAGGCTTAACCTAACACCATAGATATTGCAGCACAACTTTTTCTGCCATTTCTGCCTTTGTTTATACATGGGTATGGCATGCACGATGCGATTGGATTAAAACCCAAAAAAGAAAAAGGTTAATACATAAAATGACCCATGTATTATATATTTTTTATTAATTTAATATCTAAATAAATAAAATTTTTATTTTAATATTTTAATTTTTATTCTATCAAACACTTTAATACTTATTAAATAAATAATGTGACATAAATACATAATAAAATATGTCATATATCATAAATATTCAGATAGTATCATATTAATTATTGTCACGTCAGCAAAAAATTAAAAATAATTTAAAAAATGAAATATGTTTTTTAAAAAAATAAAAAAGAAAAAGCTTCAAAAAATAAAAAAAGAAAAAGAAAAGATTAGGGAGAGAGGGAGAGGGAAAGAGGGAACGGGAA